GGCTGTGGGAGCGGGGCGCCCCCCTGGGGGGGGAGGGCAGGCAGCTCCCCCCTCAGGCTCCACCGCTGCCGACGCCCCCTCCCTGTGCCTCGTCGCTCCCAGGAGGTGCCGGTGTCGGTTTGAAGGTTTTTTGTTTGTTTGTTGCCTTGATTTTGGGTTGTTTGTGGTTTTCTTTTTTAGTGTGGGAGGCTGAACTGTCCTCCAGTCCCCTCTGCCTCTCCAGGAGATGAACCGGGAGTAGGCAGTGACTAGACCCTCCATTAATCAACTGGTCTCCAGCCCGGACCAGCTCCAGGTGCTGCTGCCACCTGCGCCACTGCCCTCAGACCTCTGCCAAGGGCTCTTCACCAGACCTTGGCTCCTGGCTGGTCCAGCCTCACACAGACTTTGCAGCTGCTGTTCAGCTGCTCGACAACCCCCTCTGAACCGCGCCGGGGATCAGCTCTAGCTTAACCTGCTGCCGCTGCAAAGGAAAAAAAAATATGGGAGAAACTTGGGAATTATTCACACAGATGTCTTACACACGTTTTCAGACAGCCTGTTCTCTGGGAACAGCAGTCAGGAGAACAACCAGGCCCCAGCTCACCAACTGTAACTGGTTTAGCAGCGCTAAAATCTGGAGCTGCCAAAATGCTCAGGCAGTTCCTCTTCTGAGCACTTCACAGGAACAGGGCCCCCAACCCACAACCCCTCCCCACAAGAAAGGGCATCTTGCTCTCTTCGCCATCTCCTGCTGCAGTTGTCATGGCCTGGTAAAACAAGTCACCATGTACTCTCTGTCTTTCTCCCCAAAGCTCGCTTGTCCACCAGCATTTGCCCGCTCCTTCAGTAAGAACAACGCCTGTGGAAACAGCAAGTTTGTTTAATGGTAGTTTCAATTAATGGCTGCCCACGCAGCTTCTGCGCGCCGAAACCGGCCTCCAAAATGCAGGCTGGAAAGGCGTGCAAAGGTAAAGGCAAGAGTGCTATCATGTAGATAAATATTTGAGTTTCAGGCACTGACTAATGAAGACTAAGAACATTTATGCAAACTTCATGCAAATTACCATCAAACTTGAAAGCTCATTTGAAATGTTTAAATCAGGATCCTGACCAAGAGCCAGCAGGCAAAATGGAGACCTCCTTCTTATCAAATGTGAACGGAAACCAGAAAAGCTTTTTGATAAATGCGTTGTACCCACAGATACAGAACAAAACTGGTGTAGAAAGTACAGTTCTCTGTGGTTGTAATTCTGCCAAGACCAGTAACATACAAGAAAATACATACCATAATTGAATTTTGTAGTACCAATAAAACAAAAAAGTATGCTGAGTCATGTTCCCCTAAATCCAGGGCTATATTCCACTTGTAGATGGTGCCGTCAGTGTCGCTTAATGTGTCTGAAACCAGTAAGATTTGCAACACATCAGAAGCAAAGAAAGGACTTCAATTAAACAGTTTGTTCACTCGCAACACCACCAGCACAAACAGATGAAATGCAACAAAACAGTAAAAACGCTATTGCAACCGCTCTCTCTCTCGTGTGTTACTGAAGAGACAGATTGACTCTGGGGAGAACAACTTCAGTACATTTCGAAAGGCACACCACTCTCTGTACCGGAACTGTACAGGAAAAACATCCTCGTAATAAAAAGCAATCCAAAACTAAGTGATTTCTGTCACCAAAGCAACTACGCTTGCCACAGTAAGTGGCCACGTGCATGCCTGGATGCCCCGTTAAACCACAAACTATATCTCATTTCTGCAAAATCCATTGTATCTCCACAACTCCACTATAACCTCAGTCCACAATTATCTTAAGCTAACACATTTCCTTTAAATGTAAGCATTTCCTTTAAATGTAAATTCAGGAAAGCAAAGGAAGAGGACACAGTGTATGCCCAAATGTCCCCTGATACTTTCAGAGAGTGCAGGATGGCTGAAATGTCTTAAAATTAGCAAGTCAACATTCAGAGATACCACCACCACCATCAACATCCGCCAAGCCTACTGACCAGGAAAGCCGGGCCATTTCTGTGACTTCCACTGTTCCATTTCAGGTGTCCACAGCTTCCTGGAGCAAGCACAAATTCTGAGTCTTCACCATTATTACACAGTCATTTGGAAACACACAAGCAAACGTATTCTCCTTATTTGTTATATTAGGACAGACTTAGCAAAAACTTTCTAGGTTTTGTGGAGATCAAAGTCATGGACAGCACAACTTTTAGGATAGAAAATATGTAGATTAGAAGATCATGTCACCTTCTGCGTCTTATTTACATGGAAACACCACATCACTAAACCTAACCTAATGGACATCAAATATACCTACCTTTAATAAGACAATCATAGTTATTATTTTCTATTTAAAACCTTTAAATGTCTGAATAAGGTCCTTCTGTGGATTCTAGGTTTTCGCTAAAAAGGAAGAAAACAATGAGAATGACTTATTTAGAAGCACGGGTTACCTTTTACACTAATTCAGCTCATGAAGATTATTATTCCTCATCTTAGAAGATACATTGAACCCACCTTTAAAAAATTTTGTCTAAAATGTATTCAGAGTTGCACACAGATAATGCAAAGTGTTCTGCTTATGTAACATATTTCTGTGTATTTACCACTCCTGTATTTAAGTCCAAATACTCTTAGCTTGAAAGTGATGTTATTCACAATGAAAAGCATCAGAACCTAACGAAATCTTCTACCTTGTTCAATAATTATTACGTCTCGACTTACAACTGTGCAACTTACTACCTCTCAAATATTAAGTGCACTATCAAAGCACTTGATACGTACACATATATACATAGCTTAGTGCCAATCTATCAATATATTCTAAATTTGATCACATTGCAGTTGTAAAAATATCCAAAGATTCTGTGTATAAAGTCTCTCTTTTGTACATTTTAGCAATGTAAATGAGACTTGCAGCCATTAAGCATTTATGACTATACTTGCTTCCGAAAAAATTGTACATTTATGATAATATGGGAAACATGTTGATGCTGTGCATTGTTTTTATTCTATACATAAATGTCATCTTGAGTAAATAAAATAAAAAGTCAAGGTAGTATAAATTACTGAAAAAACTCCTGTAGTAAATAATTATAGAGCATACTAATAAACAAAACTATATGAAACATTTTTTAGTACTTTGGTCATATATTGGTAAAATTTATTTTAAAAGCAGAAACAAAAGTGATACATATGTCCACATACACAACACGCATAACACATATTTCACATATAAGTACCAACATCTTCCATTTCCATTTCTCAAATTTTGTTTCCACAGCAGTATTTAGCTTTATTTTTAATAAAGACTTCAATTAATTTACTTCAGATTAGTGTTAAAATAAAAGGGTAATACATTTCTAGAAACTGAAGCTGTAAAAAAATAAGCTTGCAAATTTAGAGCCTGTAAGCCAAAAAATTTAAGTGGTAACATAGCTAAAGACAGTAAGATTGCGATTGCACAAGTAAACTTTTATGCACCCCCCCCCCCCCCCCCCCTTTATTTTGTGTTTGTTTGAAGTGAAAATGACTAAATCCTGAGAGTAATCAAACTAAACCATATTACACTATTAGAATACAACAAAAGTATTCTTATGCTGACAGTCACATACAAATTGTTTCATCCTTACACTAAGCTAGCAAACTGGGAATATTCCTCTCCACCCGTTCCAAACTTACTATTCTTAAGACTGTTTTTTTTGTTCCTCCCAACATACTCTTTAAAATTCTTAGTTAATAATTTCATTTTTATTAATATGGTAGATATTTATTTGTGTAACTCATTGCTGCAAGGGGTATATGGTAAGATTTCTAATGCCAAAATGCTGAATATATATGTTGCATCATTTTAACATCTACTAAAATCTTTTGGTAATAACACGTTATGGAAGACTGAGAGCGTAATAGAAAATCATCAAGTAACTCTTCTTCAAAAAAACTTTGAATGGGGGTTTCATCCTGGCTGTAACTAAATGGCATAATGATATACCTTTACGCAATATACCAATGGTTGTCTCCAATGTAAGAGAAAGAATAGCATATACAGAACATTTAAACAGAAATATATCCAATTGTAACCCTTGCTGTTTATGTATCACTTGTAGGTGATTGTTTTAATGTAAAATTAACACACAACATGGAAATATTATGCAAATTCTTAATAACCTGGAGTTTCTTTTGTTTTCAAGATGGTATTTTAGTATAATCAAGATTAAAAAGTGCTGGAGCTCATACGCATATTGGTTGATTCAGTTTTCCATCAGAATTGATGACTGAATTAGTGCAAAACTTTCATTATGTGCAACTTTCTTGTATGATGTAGTAGAAAATACAATATTCAGCTCTATTTTTCACCTATGCCAAACCCAGTTAACAAAACAAAGAAAACAACACATAAGAAAACTTTCAGACAACTCAAATAGCATAATTTTGCATAAAATGTATTTGTCTTAAACTTCCCTTTCTACCTTCCTCTCCCTTCAGATTGCCAGAAATATGAAATATGCATCTGGTAATGTAATCCCTAATAAGAGGTATTGCTACTGTAAGAGAAACGTAAGAATCAAACATACTCTACTTGTATGCCTTTGACTATCAGCTTTCTGATGCTTTCTAGGTATCATTTTATTGGTAGTAGGTCAAGTCAAACTTTCAAATAATTTTATAAAAAGTTAGAAAAATATACTCAATATTTGTTGCGTAACCTTTCTATATTCACGCTATCATACACGAATCTTATAAAAAGCTTTAGAACCATTTATTAGCTGCAAAACTACCAACCACTGTGCAGCACCTGGAGAAGGGTCTTGGTGAGAACATACAATCCAGAATTGTATGATCTTGAAGGTATTTTTCTTCAGGTTTACAGCTATGTATTTTCACACGTAAACCCAATAAATATTCAATACCATGTTCATATGAGCGTCCATGGACACATAGACCTTTCTTGATTTCATGCTAAATCCTGAAGAAGAGCTGGTGATGTGAAAAGTAAATGACAAAGTCTGATCAACTCAGTACGACAGAATGAACTCCATGTTTAATTGTCACCAAGTTATTTAGCAAGAAGCCGATAGACTGCCATTTTAAAAATTTTCCTTCAAGAGCAAGAAATATTTCTGATATATTTTTTAAATAATGTTTTTTAAATGTTATTTGTGAGCCAGTTAAGCTATGACATCATGGGTATCACTGTTGGGTCTTTGGCGTGTAGTCAGCGGGGGCAGAGGCTTTCCATAGAAATCTGTGTAAGAAATGCCAAAGAAGAAAAACACGTTAATCTGTTATTTACCACCTCCCCTGCTTAAAGGCTGTTTAAATAAGGTAAATTCTTGCTTCCTTAGTGAAAGCTAGGTAGCCTGCAAGTTTAGAGCTAATTCCTACAAGCAACTTTCAGGCATAGTGTTAATTGTGTGGAGGTGTATTGGCCAAAACCAGAATTTAATTACATTTTGTTATACATGCATCAGCATTTGCAAAATCAAGCCCAAAGGTAATCTGTAAACGTCCCTAAAAATAGAAAGTGAGGCATCCAAAGTGTACAAATAACAACTGAAAAAATGAAGTATCAAAATTCGAATGTTGCTGTAGCCAAGTCTGCATTGCAATAAAGTTTTAAGTGACAGTAATGCTATGCAACATCCAAAATTTTGGCACCATTTATGCATGGCATCTATCTTGAAAGCCATACTATTTTTCTAAAAGAATTATATTAAGAATTTTTAGATAAAAGCACGACACTTCCTTCTGTCAATATAGGAGTTTAAAGTAGTAAAATTGTCCAAGACAAAGTTATTAAGTACACCAGAGGAGAATAAAAAGTATTCTCAAATATTTGTAATTGATATAAAAGAAAAAAACAACAACATGGAGACTCATACATGCAAAGCATTTCACAAGCAAAATTATATCATGAAAGATGGTAAGAGGAAACAGATAGAAATCAAGAAAAAATAAAAGCAGCTTTTTGAAGTATTCAAATCTCAATTTTGTTTATACAGACAGTCTCCTCCCCAACAAAGCCTTGATGGCCTGCCAACATGAAATTCAGCTTTAATAAATTATAATTTTCCAAGAAAAATATATTCCACTTGTTCTACATATGAACAACTTGTTTTAAAATTACACTCCTGAGCTAAAATAAAAAAACCCCGAGTTGGATTACATTACTCTAAGAATATGTGTACATGTTTGCAGGATCAAGGTTTTAGTAATCCTTACATATAATCAGTAAAATAATAACATTTTTATATTACTGTTGTAAATCCTTTGATTTTAATAGAGCTAATTCAGTGTTACAGCAGCATGGGAAAAGCAACAAAACTGCAACCAATGATTATAGGGAAAATGAAAACCTGTACAATGGATGTTTTTATTAGTCAGTTTCTTGAGGTCTGGTGAACAAATTTAGGGCTGCCAGGCAATTTTAGCTCCTATAATCAGAGAGGTTTATTGTTCTTGCAAATGTATCCTCCAGTGACAATAAACAGACACTCACTACCTAGTGTTGTGCTAGAATCATTAGCATGACTGGAAAAATTGCAGTCTTTAGTGAAAATCAGCGTACATTTAAAGATTTATATAATTGAATCTACTAACTGTTAACTCTGCCTAAACATCCAACATAATGTTCTCTGCTAAGAATGACACAAAAATGACTCAATATATATATTAAATAGCTTGCTCACCAACATTTAAATTTTTCAGTTTGGACATCAAATCATTAAGACAGATTTATGTCTGAGAACACCTATCATTAAAAACCAGACCTTTGGAGATTGTTTCAACCTCACACTACACTAGTTTTATATATTTCAGCACCGAGGTCTACGTTATATTTGTGACACCTCAAAAAATCAATTTTAAGACCAAGAAAAAAGGAATAACTGCTATCTGAAGTAATGAAGACCTGTACTAGAATACATGGGAATACTGAGAAACACCGGTTCCTCTGTTTTTCCACAGACTACCAGAAATTCACACTACAAAAAGTCGTATTTGTGTTGAAGCTTAAGGGGTTTTCTTCACTTACACTGAGGAGCTATCAAATGTTTCATTGTTACACTCTTGGACAAAGACTTTGAGAGTACTCCTGAAAATAACCTCTATGCATAACCAAGGCTTCTTAAACTTTTAAAGGCAGACTGTTAAGTACTTTTTTCTTCCCTTGCTTTTATGGACACTAATAATTTTACCTAGAGTCCTGACAACAGCACCTACTGGGCATCCTACTGGAATTGAGGTTTTATAGACTGGTTTGCATGAAGGTAGGTGCTCATTTGCCCCATATCCAAAGACTTTTCAGCCACTTGGCCAGTAACAGTTTCTTGAAGAAAACTGTTTGACAGAATCGCTATAGAAAACAGTGAACTTCAGAGAATCCAAAAATCCCACAGAAAAGAAAGCTTTACTAAAGGAAATAAAAAAAAAAATATTTTCAGCTTTCACTGCAAATTGTGCCTTCCAGACATTCATATCAATTAATCATGAAACCAATATGGAAACCAGTCCTTTTTATTTCACAAAGGTTGAATGCCTGAAAAACTTTAAAAGCACCTTTGCAGTGAATTTTGGGCCCCCAATAAATCAAAACTGATTTATTTCTATTTATTTCTCTGCTGAAGGGACAGCCAAAAAGTTGGTATTCAGAGAGATGCAATTCAGGGAATATTCTTAAAAATGGATCAAAGGTAGGCTCCACTGGTCTTAGGAAACCTCATATGAGTTTCCAAGCAAGAGCAGGTTGCAAAATACATAAAAACTAATTGAAAAACACTGTTGTGTGACAGAAAACGGGCAAGGACAGATGGCAAGCTAAAATCAGCACAAGATGGACTTGGCAGTATTAGGCTAGCGGTTGAACTCAATGATCTTAAGGGTCCTTTCCAAACTAAATGATTCTATGGCTCTCAAATGGTCTGCGTAGAAAAACAACTGCTTTAAGCAAAATAAGTAATTGATGCTTTTGGATATCCGGACCTAACTAAAGGTTTGACAATGCTGGACCATGAGTTTGAAGAGCTATTTTCATTCATAAATAGTGCTTTCCTAATATAAGTTTTCTTGCTTTCTCAGGATTTCCTGTATCTGTGTCAATCTTGCAAGTGTCTCAAAATTCCTTAAAAAAAATCTCACCAAAGAGCAGGCAAAGTCTTGGATTCAGCTGCAAAGTTCTGAGCACTCCAAGTTTCCTTTGATCTCCCTGGTTACACCTCTGGTCAAGAGATCGTTCCCCTACCAACATGTTTTCCATTGTTAGATTCCAAAATACTTTAATTATTATCCTTATGTTACAAATGGATTAAATTAACACAGATATCAGGTTACTAACTTACACACCTGTGAGTAGGGAACCTTACTTAAGCAGTTTTTTTCCTCTTTGTCTCACCCATGCTCTTGCTACAAAATGTAACACCTCCCTTTGGCACAGATAAAAATTGAGTATCACCCCTTCCCTTTCTCCCCCTCCCTACCTCTTCATCAGGCTTTTCTTTCTTGCCGCCTTCTCTCTATATGCCTTTAAAAAAAAGAGCAAGATGGCTTTATGATTAAGACTACAAAATACATTTTATGCACATGTATTACGCTCCTGTGAAAAATAAGTATCTAGTCTTTAGAGAACTTAATTCCTCTTTATGCATCTTTTGATTCTTTGGCAGAGAAGCTCCGTGTTCTGTTGCTTCAAAACTTCAGCAGGTATGTCCGCATGGTGCTGTACTACACGATAGTAGTACAATCAGTTCAAGTCAGGGTTAAGCTCAAGGATCACTACAGCCACACTGAGCTCCTTTCTCTGTAAGTTCCTCAATTAATGTTCTCTTTGTTCAATTTGTTTATGTGTTCCCATTGCTTTAGTTTGGTCATCTGCGTCTCATATTACTCCAGATGCCTCCATATTCACACGGCTTTTCAAAATTTGAAAAATAAAAATGTAAGAAAAATGAAGAAATTATCATTTAAAACTGAAAAATGATGCAGTATGAGCATATGAAAAACAATATTCCATGGTCTTCTGAAAATAGTCATTACTGAAAAGAGAAATCAAGAATCTGCCGACTACACCATGACATTTCCAGTTAGTAAATTTATCCTACCAGTTTGTGAACTTTCAGGGACACTGGCTCTTCAGGTAAAGCAGCAGATCCCAAGCTTTATCAGTGACACCTCTCCTTGCAGACCAATAAGCTAGTTTTCCGTTGGAAGTCTCACTACTTCTGCAATCAAATTTATGCTGAGCTTTTCATCATAGCTGGGACTGCAGTCCCTCATTTGCAGTTGCTAACATAAGGCACTTAATTCAAGGTGCTCCCATGTCTTTAGCTTTCCTTCTCACAAGAATACACCCCCAAATCAAGGACAAAAATCTTCCCAACTACGCTTTTAAAACCATATGGCAACAGTAGCAGTGGGTAGAAGATGTTTTAGACTACCTCAAGAGGCAACACAAGGAATCAGCTTCTACATAGAAATTCATCTGGATGTTGGCTATGGTTCACAAAATTCCAGAAATACATGGGGCCCATTTGGGTTCAGTATTGTAAGTGGTTAGCACTTCCAGATCAGATCATAAGATCAGTGTGGAAACACAGGCAGCTTAGTGCAGAACCAGCCTGGACATGGAAGACCCTCTATGGATGCCAAATTAATAAGCCCTGCTGGATCTCTGCAGTCCTGCTGAGGTGTTTCTGCAGTATCCTCTCTCCTGAGTGCCTCAGACTTCTTCCAGTATCCAGGTAACCCAACTCCTGTCCCCATTGCATCAGATAATGATGCACTGTCTATATATGGACAATGGAAATATACTTTGAAACTTTCATTTTGAATGCAATATGCATTTGAACTCTTCAAGTAACTGGACCTGTTACTCTCTGTTATATCGCACATGATAGCATGTAGGTGCATGCTGCTGTGAAAATAACTTCAGATCATTAATAGTTTCTGATATGCCGTGCCACTTTAAACTTTACAAGGCAATCTGAGAGAACTTACTCTTTTTGGTAAAAAAATAAATAAAGACTTGAAAAATCAAAAAGATGCTTTCTACTAAGCAAAAGAGTTAGCTTTTGGTCAATGAAAATTAGCATTAAGAAGTTTAAAAAAAAAAGATGAAGAATGAAATGAATGTAGAAGTGAATGGACGATGAAGAATGCTTTAAAAAAGTACAAACCCCAAAATATTTTCAATTACCAGCATGATGTGTGTCACCAAGAGGCTCAAGTTTTCGAAGTCTATTAAGTTTGGGAGTTCCCCAGCCAACTAAAGGAAAACAAAGACAGTCAAACCATGCCCCGACTGCACCTAATTCTAATGAAAAGTATGGAAGCCAGTTCTCTTTGGGAGAAATCAAAGCATTTAGAAATGCCAAAAGTATATAACATATTGTATATATGGTGAATAATGATGAAATACTTTAAAAATAAACTGATATACCCTTAAAAATATTGATATTTTTAATCACTTTTCATCAGTGAGCAGTCAATTCTCTTACTCTTTTTTGTGAAAACAATAACGTCTTCCCCTCCATGGAATGGATCAAATCAATACTGCTGAAAGTTCATACCATGAAGTGGGAAACTGCATCAAAGATATCCTGGAGAGTAAGCCTATCTCTGTATGAAGACCATTCCAGTTTCATCATTCACAAATGAATATTTTAAAGGTTTAATAACCACAAATTGAGACATCGATTACTGTTTGTTAGCACACTTACCTGGTGGAAGCGCTGGTGGTGGCGTAGGATTTTTGGGAACAGCATCTTCTGCATTAACAGGTTCTACTCTGTGGCCCCTTTTTAATTTTGGTTTTTTACTTTTTTTCTTACTGTTATCTATGTCAAACAGAAATAAAGCATTACATATTATACAGCTACATTCAGAGAATATGTTAGATCATCTTTTAATACAGTTGTTGAGGTAAAATGCATCAGCATTTTATGTCCAAACTTATACACAAAAGCAGGTGAAATGTAAATTTTACAGGACATTTTGCTATAGAAAATAAATTGGAAGAATAAAGTATATGCAAATTCTATATTGTAATAAAGCAATTAAACTTAGCTTGATTTGATTATGATAAAAAATTTATTATGATAAAAATGAACCTAGTTTCAGCTACAGTATCAGTCACACCAACAAACAGGCGCTTTTTTGAAACAGATTTTCCAATACAATGACCTAATGGTGCATTTTTATGTTTTCAACAGATTAAATTGACGTGTGGTATCATGAAAAATAATACACAGAGAGGGAAAAACTATGTGAAAAATAGCATCATGCGTTAAAAGGAAGTAGTTTTACCTGAGTCAAGGCATTCTGAGGCTTGCTGCTCATGCTCTTCATGCTGCAAAAGCTGAGTAGTTGTAGAATTGCATGTTTCTAGTCTACTATCATTTGTATTTTGGCTACTGCTACATGAGAAGTGTGGGGCATCCATTTGTTCTTGCTCTGTTTGTGATTTCAAGACAATTGTAGCCTTTTCAGTCTCCAACTTTTGCCGCTTCTTTTCCTTTTCAATTTGTTTTTCATTCTAACAAAAAGTATAAGATTTTTTTAACAACTTCTAATGCTGTAAACTGATTAATAAGACAAAAATGGAAATATTCCTAAAATATTTTTCCATCCCACATGTAGAACAAAAAATATTTTTAAATACGCAAAGAAATTAAATTTCCAATATCCTGCTGAGACAAGGCGGGGGGGGTGGTGGTGGGGGTGGTGTTAACAGCAAAAAGAAATTATATTTAGATTTATAGCCTGTTTTCTTGCTTTCTTTTTGGTCATATGCCAAAAAGAAATGCTGGCTATACAAACAATATCAACAGTCCTGTGCAAAAGGTTAGAAAACTCCTAATTTCTTCCTCTTCACTTATCCTTTTTAAATTTTTTTAATGTTTTAGTTACCAATTGTGTCATACAGACTCAATGATAGGCTGTTTCACAGCTTCTGTATAACTAAATCACCGTCTCTGCAGTACTCACAGAGTAAGAGATGGATATAGCTGCATGTTATTATAAGCAGTATTATTGTGCATATAGCTGACTTTACAAGATATACGGATATGGGAGCTTTTGTTCTGGGGAGAAGCAAACATTAGAATTACTTACTGGAAAAGTCTCTGAGAGTTTGTGTGTTTCTTGACATTATGTTATCTCAAGTCAACTGATAAAAAAATATGTTGCAATAAGGAAGAACTACCTGAACTCAGAAACCCAGGTTAAGGAAGCTTTGTATACTAATATGCTTTTCATATTGTAAAGTTAAGAAAACTTCTCAGTTGTCTCAGTTTTCAACAGAAGTCAGGCTATGCGCAGAAATTTGTTGAAGTTGTCAGGAACATATTATATAACTCACTACATCACTAAAACACTTTACAAGAAACTAATAGACCTTGAATATTTTCCAGTCTTGAATATCCAGCAGTTTAATTAGGAAATGTGTTCAGTTATCTGTTTACAATACCTTTATTTTACTGTGTCTACAAAACTTTTTGTCCCCGAATCAGTAATAGGGGATTTTCTTAACATGAAAGCATTGTTTCAATGCACACAAAACAAGACTGCCAAGATTAAAAAAAGATAAATAAAATAATGCTGTGCAGACAGATTTAGAACAATTCTTTATAATGAACCATTTTTCTCATTACCTCTCAGACATTTGTTAGCAGTAGATCTAAAACAATTCAGATTTCCACATATTCTCATACCTCAGAGATCACAGCAGATATAGGCTGGAAGGGTCTTTCCCTTTGTTGTTGTTTTTTGTTTTACATTGTTGTTGTTGTTTTAGTGTTTTGGGGCATTGTTGTTTGGTTTGGTTTGTTTTTTTGGCAGGGGAGGGAGGAAGAAGGGGGATGAACAAAGAATTACGAAGAAGCCAAGCTATAAATTTTACATAGTAGAGAACACTTATAAGGTCATCTAAGTCATCGTCCCATTTATGTTCCCTTTGTTGTTGTTTTTTGTTTTACATTGTTGTTGTTGTTTTAGTGTTTTGGGGCATTGTTGTTTGGTTTGGTTTGTTTTTTTGGCAGGGGAGGGAGGAAGAAGGGGGATGAACAAAGAATTACGAAGAAGCCAAGCTATAAATTTTACATAGTAGAGAACACTTATAAGGTCATCTAAGTCATCGTCCCATTTATGCCAGCTGATTTTTACCATATGCTTCTGTATTTTGAAAAACATTCTACAGAAATCACAAGGACAGGCTAACATCAATAATGCGCAAGTATATATTATAGCAGACGTAGAAACACGTGCTGCCATGTGCCAGAACGTTCAATCAGCACTTCAAGAAGTGGAAGCAGTTTCTGAGGACAGGATATGTGACAGAATACATCTGTAACTGGAAGGTTTCAACTGTTCAACAGTATGCTGAAATTTTCTCACTGGTAAACTTTTATAACAATTGTTTCAAGGCATTCAATTGTTTAAAAAAAATAAATCTATGTAGTGAGAAACCAGACTATCTAAAACCTCTTCTATTTTTAATACACCTCCATTTCTCATAATTCTACATTATTCTTAATATACATAAGGGAGAACTGGTGCCAGACGGTTCAGTTTATCTAGTAACAGTTAGGAAATCATATTTGCTTCAACAGAAAACTTCAGAAAGGCACATAAACCCCAGTATACTGTTGTTGCACCAGCACTAGTTATTTTTTATGTATCAGATCTCTATTTAAGAAATATTAAATTACTATGTATTAAATAATATATCGTATATGCTCATCAAACACTTTTCATCGATCGATCTGAAGGTACCTGGGCATAAGCAGTCCCTTTCACACCTACTTTAGAGCTGCAAGTACTGAGATAAGAAGTAACCCCATTGTTCGGAGGCACAGATGGGAATGCAAAGGACATCACCGATCTACCCATGAAACCATACTTCTTGGAAGGAATGGCCAGCACTGTGTTAAAACTTACTGGCGCTTCTACTCTCTGGTTTTCCACCTGAAACCAGTTCATTTCTACTAACATTGCAGAGGAAGTGCACTTTGAGAAAACATTCAGGGAAGCAAATCTGAAGAAAAAGCAGTCTGGGGAATTATTAAAATACATAATGAAACAGAATTACACTTGAATCAAGAATAACCTGTTTCTTACAGTAAGAAATTGATTTGATGCAAAACAGCAAGATGGGAGTAATGCCATCTCTTGTATCTGAGACAAGTCCTCAGCTACAGGTAAAACCAGCAGAAGTTACTAGTTAGCATTCTTCTAAGACACAAGGAGAGTTTAGCAAAACTTTTAAGCCTTTAAACCAATTCTTCCAGTGAATAAATACAATCAAGATCACTGAGTGGGAACAGAGTATATGGAAAATGCCCGTATCATCAGACAATCTCTGAGACATGTTTCAAAGTCAGTCCTCCTTGCTACACCTCTCAACATGGCATAAATCCAACACAATCCAACATGGTCAGAGGGTTTTGTCTATGCAGAGACATCTGGCAAACTAGCAGCATATGCATTTTTTCATAATTTTGTGAAATATATATGAGGGCTGTGTCAAATTCCAGTTTTTTAAAATGCACTTAAGTAATTTACGTGCTGAAGTAAACCAAATCAGCAAAAGTACAAGCCAAGACACTTCATAGTAGCTTCACAGTTACTTCTCAAGGTAACTGAGACTTGCAAATCTCTGCAATATATAAGGCAGATGGGGGGACAGGGGCGCTCAGTGAATTTTATGAGAATGTCCCTGTAAAATGATTCACATCAGCCTCTAATAGGAACCATGGTGGGCTACTGATGACAGGAATGAATCAAGTGTCTTACAAAAAGGGATGAAGGGGAAGTAAGAGAAATTACAGACAGAATACCTTTCTTCTCGTATCCTTCTCACTCGCTCAGCTCGTTCTAGCTTCTTTTGTTCTTCATATGCTTTTTGTTCTGTAGTGTCTCTTTGGATGCGCTCATTTAAGGCATCAAAATCTTTTGCTATGATATGGAGAAGCCAAAATAGTCCCTTTTTTATTGACTTATCAATTTTTTTCCCACAGCCCATGACAGCTGAGCAAGGTTCCTGTGAATATACAGAGAAGAAGGAGGGGACAATTATTTGCAGTTCAGACGGCATTCCTTGACTGAAAACAAGAAATCAGCCAAACAACTACTGTTTACTCTGAAGCTTGCAAACCACTGAGAAGTATGGGAAATACATTTGTACAGAGGTATTCTATAAATTTAGGTGCTTTTTTTTTTTTTTGCCGAGAATCAAATCACATTAGTTCTACTAAATACCATTATTTCCAGTCCTTTTCCAAAAATACTAGAATACTGCACAGAAAAACATTTGTGTGCCTATCTCGAGGCATATATATACCCCTGGTATATATCCACACACCTGTTACATACACACCTGCTATATGTATATATGTATATTTACATACCTGTTTCTATACACATCCACATCTATGCATCTATTTTAATACATTCCTACTTTGTCTAAATTAAGGTTCAAATATAAGTGTTGCTCACTGTGGAACCCTACAATGTTCTCTAGCAGAACTTAATCAAGGAGAAGATGTATAGATAATAATGCCTTGTTTCTCTGAGAAAACTAAGATAAAACAGCAGACAGCACTGAGGCAATTTTCTTCTAAGTTTGCACAAAGATTATTGTTACTGTAATTCAGTTCTAAAATATATAGATTTAGAAATGTAGAATATACAGACTTTTAAAAAAGAAAATTATGAAGGTCATTCTCACTGACATTGTGTGACAGTGAGACAAACTACTCCTTTCACTTGCTTTCATATTTTGCGGGGAAATTTAAAGAGCCAGAAGAAAACTAACTAAAAGAATAAGAACAAACAAAAGGTTTTTTTGGTCCTTGCCTAATTTTATTAAAATCTTGTTTCATAACACCCCTGTTTAAATTCACGCCATAAGTCATCATACTGAAACACGTTGGGACCATGTTTACGTTTAATAAGCCTAGTGAAGAAGCTGCCCATTTGAGTACATAAGAGCCTCAGCTGCTTTCAGCTAAAATGACTTTGAGTATGTGATCTAGTTTCTTTGTTGATTACACCCAAGACATAAATGGAGAACAAGAGCAGCATTTTACTGGAACATGTCATAAATTAAGTAATTCTACAGCACTGGAAAAACACACTAGAATCTTTCAGGTCTTTTATAATGACTTTTCTTGCTTTGCAAGAAAATATTTTTGCCACAGAAGTCCCTCAGAAAAGAACTGTGAACTTGCAGTGTTTATTTTCATGATTGCTATATGCATAGTGCAAAATCCACTGACTGAAATGCCTTTGAAGAGTCATTACATAATGAACTTAGTTATGCCCTGCTGTAATCTAACTTTTTAGAGAAAACAATAGCAATATATACTACCCAATGAATTTTGCAACTCTTCCTATGGAATTAAAAGTCTTTTTTAAATTTTACCAAATACCAGATGGAATGGTTTTGCAAAATTGCCTTCTAATTATGGTTAATAACAGCATAACTCTCATTATCTTTTAAAATGTTTCTTATTGCAATTAGAAAAAGATTATAAAAGTAGTGCCCACAAATAGTTAAACAACAAACTGGTTGATTAAAACTAAGGCTTAAAGAAAACTTCAAGGACTAGTGATTTGGATAAATTATCTCAAATACTGACCAATATTAAGTAGCCTTCATATAGATTTCTGGTGTTGGCTCCTCCCCCTTTCCCTCTCCCCCTTTTTAAAATTACTATATTTTTAACATGACTGTGAATACTACATCTGAAATGCAGTCATTTTAGGACAGATATTAACTAGCTCTAACAGTGTTCTTTGATGACTACTGTGCTGTGAATTAGATGCCCTAGGAATTAGATTAAGTTCTTACTGTTTGCCAGATGGTCACTCACACCAAATGATGGTTTTAGTTACGAACAGAAATGAGACAAACATCACACATGAACAGTGACCCCTCCTGACTGTCAACACAGGCAAATTCTATTTTCTGCTTCTTTTTTAAAAAGGTGGAATACTAAACTTGCTGTCCAACTAAACAAGTTTTAAATCACATCAGTAATTAATTTTTCTTACATGGTTTCAGAGTGGACCAGCAGGTACACGTTGAGAACCTTGTTGTAAATATTTCTTCAACAGATTCATAAGCAGAATGTCAAGGTGAACAGTAGAGTTGCTTGCAAAACAGATATACGTACTGTGTCATTGCTGGGATTGCAGGGTTCTAGTTTCAGTTTTACAGCATGTGGTACAATCCCCCACCTTATTGCAAGAATTACATGTATATTAGAAAATGAAGCATCGTAAAACATACTTACAATTTGACATAGACACTTGTGTTCATTGACAAGCTTTTCCAGAGATAAGGATTCAATTACGTCTGCTTCTGACAGAGCTCCTTCTCTGTCCTGCTTATTTGCCAGCCTAAAGAGAAGACCAAAAGAAACACAGCACCCTTACATGAGAGATTCTCATGTCTCCAAAAGCTAAGTTTTTGACAAAAGTTGGAAGAAAAGGAAGAAGGTAAAGAGAAAATGCCTGGTTTCAGCTTTAATTCTTAATTGTTCCTTCCGCTTAGTAAAAGTGTTAGTCCTTGCACTATATTCAGCTGATACTAACATTAAGTAATTAATAAGCACCCGTAGAAAAAGCTATTGTATTTTACAGCTAAGAAGACGGATGTAAAAGACTACCATTCTACTTCAAAAGCTACACAGTGCAATCTCTTGGAGTCTATGAATCAAAGTTCAGAACTTTGCAACTTTCCAATCCTTTTCCATCTCCCCACATAATACTGTTTCATTATCATCTCGGGTCTTGCTACTATCCAGAATTTCTCTCCGACACCAAACAACTCGATCTGTAATGTTTTGAACCTGCTCTTTGTAAGTAAAACTAGAAGCTCGCATGCAGGAACTTGCATGAATGTCTCTAAACCCATACTTTATTATTAAATAGAGGGAAGAAAAAAAATTGGTATATGAAACACATAGTTTACAAAACAAGTATTCCATAAGATGAAGTGTCATCATTGTCTCATTCTCATTTCTTAGAGATATAGGAGCGTAGATCTTGATCATATTTGTCTTCTATGTGCTCCATAACTGCATCCAATCGATAACTTGACTATCCTCAAGACCTCAATTTCTTAATTAAAATGGATTTAAATTGGTCAACATCCAAGAAGGTGGGATGAATTACAGCCACCATGATCATGGATGCCTCACTTCTTTAGGAAAATGGGCTAAAATCTTCTCAGTAATTCCCTAATAAATGCAACATGCGTTTATCCTAGTAAATGTATTCTATACAGAAAGGGGTAAGTTGTCAGAAGCAAAGGAAAAGCTTACATGAAGCAATGTGTAGAAAACATCAGAAAAAGATTAACAACGTAAGTTTACTTAAGTATTTAGGAATGTGCTAGCCAAACAGTTTTATTCCCTAAGAAGAAACTTAAAAAAGCAAACTTGCTGTCATGTTGGTCAATCATTTTCTGAGTTCACTTACAAGCAAATTTTAATGACAAATGGAGACATTTAGATAGACATACAAAATACATATTTTAAACAGACAAACAAAAATGACAAAAAGAGACAAACCCATAGGAAATAATTCATGTTTCTTGAGGGTCTGAGAGTTGTATAAGTAATAAACAAAAGTTCATAGAGGGGTCGAGTAGAAAAACGGTTCTTCCTATCTTCCATAAACACTCTTGGTGACAACAGGATATATAGTCTTTCCTCTCCCTTTATCCTCTTTTAATTAAAAGCTAGTATGGAAAATTGCTAGGAATGAAACGACATTAAATAATATTTCACTAGCAACAGAGTACTCCTATATAAAGTTACCGTTTTTCAGCATGACAACTGGTGCTGTTTGCTTTGAACCAGTGTAGACCATTTTGGAATATGAGCACACAATGCAATCTGATTTTAATGTTGTTCTGAAATTTAGCAACCTTTCCATTGCAAGAGAACTCTGATTCAACTTTCTGGATAAAATCCATTAACTCAATGGCAGATGGTTTTGGAACCAGACATCATAGCCTTTCTTCAGAAATCTCAAGTCATCGTCAAATGGCTCTTAGGGAATGTTAGGCCAACGCTTGTACTTTGGACTTCTCTTACACCTTGCAGGGAGGGAACAATGGTAGGAATTCACTCAGTCAGCACAACTTGTCAGCACCTCAGTTTGATCTAAGACCTTATTCCTTCCCATTTTCCAGAATCACAGTATTACGGCCTCAGTTCTTAATTATTTTACTCCCAAGAGAGTTTTTAACCTCAAAGACACATTAAAAGAAAAAGCTGTGTTTCATCTACAGCTCAAAAAAACTATTCCTCGTCACCATTAACCTCACACACTATGATTCATTATCTAGTCTTTCCTTTCAAGTAGAGTTTATGAAGGCGACCATAGACACACCTTCTCAAACATCCATGCTCACTCATTATTCATCAGTCTTAAGAACTATTTGCAGTCCCAAAGCATACTTATCAGCTTGGGGATAAAAACCTCTACATCCTACTGGTGATCAGCTTTGTTGACTTGCCTGCAGAGCTAGAAAGAGCACAAGGCTTTTCCCAGCCCCCCCGCTTTGAAAATCCATTCCCATTTCTCAACAAAAAGAGTAACTCTACAGTACTTTGTACTTTATATGATTTAGTGTGGAAATTCACTAACTGTTGTTCAATGCGCATACAGAAGCTATTACACTTTCAACATGCTTATGATACTCCGGCACTATTCATTCCCACCACCCAGCTAGGACAAATAATGTCCTCTCAATATTTGGCTATGAAACAGAGCCAAAGCTAAATCAGCGAAAAACTGAAATGGAATTCAAGAAAGCTATGGAAAGTAATTAAAAGACTGGAAACAATTATTTCTGCCTTTTTTCATTTAACCTATCTTTGTCACAATCTGAAAATCCTACTGCACTGCCCCTTAATGTCAAAAGCAATCCTCAGCGGTGCTGTCAATTCCTATCTAGATCTAATTGAAGAAAATATTTCTGAACACAGACTTCATTGTCACAGCCTTTCTCACCTCAAGATTAAGTAACTGCAATATTTACTATGTTATTGGACTGCACATTCTACAAAGCACAGCTGAAGCAGAATGAAATGTTGGTAAACTGCATAGCTCAGCGTGAGTGTGACACTAACATCCTATAACTTGCAGTAGCTGCTGATTTTTAACCTCTAGTATCTTGAAAGGTGTAAGATTTGTCTTTTTGGTAAATTAGCTTCCATTTTCTCCACAGCATTCCTGTTGCAATACTGACTGGATTCACAGAATCATAGAACAGTTTAGGTTGGAAGCAACCTTGACGATCCTCTAGTTCCAACCCCCCTGCCATAGGCAGGGACACCTCCCACTAGACCAGGTTGCTCAAAGTCCCATCCAGCCTGGCCTTGAACATCTCCAGGGATGGGACCTCCACAACTTCCCTGGGCAACTTGTTCTGGTGCCTCACCACCATCATGAAAAATTCCTTCCTGATACCTAATCTAAACCTCCCCTCTTCCAGTTTGAAGCCATTCCTCCTCATCCTATCGCTACATGCTCTTCTCCATGCTTTCTTGTAGGTGCCCTTCAGATACTGGAAAGCTGCTATAAAGTCTCCCCGGAGCCTTCTCTTCTCCAGGCTGAACAGCCCCAGCTCTCTCAGCCTGTCTTCATAGGAGAGGTGCTCCAGCCCTCTGATCATATTCATGGCCCTCCTCTGGACCTGCTCCAACAGGTCCATGTCCTTCATATGTCAAGGACTCCAGAGCGAGATGCAATGTTCCAGGGTGGGTCTCACGAGAGCAGAGTAGAGGGGCAGAATCACCTCCCTTGCCCTGCTGGCCACTCTTCTTTTGATGCAGCCCAGGATACGGTTGGCTTTCCGCACTGTGAGTGCATGTTGCCAGCTCATGTTGAGTTTCTCATCAACCAACACTCCCAATTCAAAAAAATACAGCCAAGGTGCTGTATCTGGAAAAGTAGCATATTCAAGTAGCTGTCTCCACCTTATGCTCCCCAAGAACTGAAGTGGTATAGCACAAGTCATACATTTCCTGCCGTACACCCCTTCCCCACTTCAGCCTTTAGGTCAAACTTACAAATGGAGTTAAAATATTTTTAAGGTACCGATTGTGATATAGTGTATTATGATGCTGAATTTTTTTCCCCTTTCAAGTAAATGTATGAATAACCTAGCCTTGCTGCCTTTTTCCTTTGTGCTTCAGCGTAGAAGAAAGCAACCCCTGCACTTACACTTGTGTTTCATAGGTAGGCAGTGCTTCGCTTGCAGCTTACAAGGCCTCTCTCTATCTAGGGAGCTGCTCCTAGACACTTCCTCCTCCTGGGCAGCCCCAGCAGTGATCCGCCTCTCAGCAAGGCTGGGTTTCAAACAGGCAGAACCAGATTCCCCAAGTAGCAAGTAATCAATTTGCCTGTCTACTGCAGTTGCAGAAGTCAGCTTCTCTCTCTCACACCACTGCTCCTGAAGATGAACCCTTGGACAATTATTTAAGAACTAGAAGCAGACGGCATGCAGAAAATACTTAATGGAATGCCACTCAAGACACATTACTTAGGCAAATATTCGAGACAATGTTTTTCAGATTACACCGAAGCTTACCCTCAGGAGTTTCTCTGTAAAGGATAAACAAGAAAGCCACCAGCACAAGTCTAAAAGGTAAAGGCTTTTCTTCTACTTAATGTTTATAAAGTTGCAAATATCAGAAAAAGGCTGTGTAGTGTGGTTTAGAATGGAAATGTGCCTAAGAGCCAAGACATACAAATAATGGATGTCTACCCTGCAAAGAATTGGATATTTCTCGGGTGAATGTAGTCTCAGAGCTCTGCTGCTCATGCACTGGAATGCTAGGTTTCAAGGCAAGTTTTATGCATAAAACTTCCTTCTTTAGGGAATACATTGGCGTTATCTTAAAGGATAGACCTCACTTTTAATTTTCCAAGTCAATAGAACTTCATATATAGCAATTTTTCATGTTTAAAAAGCTGTAGGAAGTATATATCAAAACATACTCGAAAGCACAGGAGAGTGTCTGTTGGTTTATCATATTAAGTTTGCTGAGTGAGAAGCTTTCATATATAAAAACATGCTTGGCTTATTTCAATTTCACATAAAGTATATTTGGAACCTTCTTAGTGTAACAAACTTACTTTAGCAAAAAATAAAGGAAAGGTAGGCACCAACTGCTTTTATATCAAGTAGGATTTTTTAAGCAACTAGAGAGCTTTTGAACTTTATTTTAAGAGTCATGGGAAACAATGTGGAAAGGGAGTGTATGTGTGCATTGGCACAACTGACATCTACAAGTTCAGTAACAATATTTCTCTTAGAAGCCAGAAGACATGCCAGAGAAAAACAAAGTCTGAATACAAACTACGTGTGTTCCTTGACCTGT